GTTAGTCCCCTGCCGGTTTACCGGAGGGGACTTTAGGTTTACCCTCCGTCCGTCTGTCTGTCCGTCCGCAAAACTGGATCCCGCGATAACTTGAAAAATACTGAAAATATTTTTATGAAACTTTATTGTTTTCTCGTTTAGGGCACACGTTTTTTATTACTTGGGGACCATACGCCGCTTTTCATGGTATGGCACGGAAGTGTCACATTGAAGGTTCCATGATAACCGCCGTATGAACACATCTGCGGATGTTTCTAAATTCAAAATTTTACCATTTCATGTTTAAATGTTGAATTCTGCTTAAGCCGGTGCTAGGGGGCGTGGACGGTAACTTGCACTTTCCAGTACCGTCCATGAACAGGCTCAATCAAACCGAGCCTGCAACATTTTCAATTTTGCCGTGTTGTGCTTTCTTTAGGGATTCTGTATTTATCTATTTTATCTGTCAAACACAACATCTTATTTTTTAAGAATATGCATTGCACTACTTAATAATTTTATTTTCTAACGGAACATCTTTCAACAATAATAACACAAAAAAATGTTTCTACTTGGAAATTAATTTTTCCAATTCTTGGGAACCATTTTCATAATAAATAATATTAAGGGAAAAACTTTTTGAAATGAGTGTTTACGAGAAAACATTATTATTTGAAAAAGGAACATGCTTAGCTATAAATAATGCAAAGATTAATTGAATATTGATTTAACTTCATGCAATTATTTTTTTTTTCGTTTTTTATGTTCCGTTTTCGTCTTGACGTATAAATCATATGATGTGTTATATATTTACATTTTTTTATCTTATTACCCTTTACAAATATTTTAACAGTGGTACTTGTAGCTGTATTATTTAATGATACAAATTATTTCAAGGTAAATAGTTCAAACATGTGTGTTTCACTGGCTGAGTTATGCCAAAAAAGTCTCAGTACCAGCGATCGAGCTTTCCCAGAGACAAATAAAGTCATAGTGTTAAATTAACTGTAAATTGTGTAATTGGACTGTCTTTCTTGTCAACTATAAATAACATTTAGAAGAAGATGAAGATTTTCATTTATTAGGATGCTATCTTTAACGACACAATGTCTGCATTATTATTGCATTCATTCTGATAAGATTGACCCTGGGTTAATTCATTTTGTCCAAGCTATTTATAACTTAACTTGTATTCACAAACTACATGAACGTCACAAAGAGGTTTGTTGCATATATCAGATATTTACGGACAGTGTAGATTTCTTTACATTTCTGTTTGTGTTTGTTATTTATGGTGCAAAGTCCATAATACTGAGAATATTTAATAAACTGTTTAAAAAAGACCCAATCCAATTTCATATTTCATTTTATGTTCTTCGTGATAAGCATTTGATAAACATTTGACAAATTCTCAAAAAGTTAGGTAAAAATAATTAAAAAAATAGTCTTTTAGGCAATAACATTACCATAAATAAGAACTTTGAAACACTATACACGTTTACGAGTATACAGTCGTTCGACATTAATTTTCGCTGACAGGCGATGCGATTTTCTTCAACGGAACTCTACTAAAGTTTTTGTAATCCTGACGGGCAAGACAAAAGCAGCAAAATTAAAAAACCCTTTTTATCAGAGCACAGTAAGATCATTATTGAACGACAAGTCTGATGTAGAAAGAATGGCCATTATATAAATGTTGTTTGATATAAAAAAAATAGTCAACTCCTGTGAAGTGATTTACTAGAATGCTCTAAAAAATTGTTTTCAAAAATTATTGTATTTGAAAACAACAGCAACAACAACAGAAAACATGTCGAATTATGCTGAATGACTTCACTTACAATAAACTACACTTTTTGTTTGCATTTTAAATGCACGAAAATTTTGAAATTCTCATTTCGCAATTTAATGTTAGCTTTTACGATTGACAGAAACATCCTTTTTATTAAAATCAGACCATAACATAATTGAAAGCAATTTTGTTTTGTTAATATTCTTGAAATGATGTGTCTATAAATCAAAATTATGGAAACAAAAACTGCTATTATGGTTGAAACGTTAAAACCTGTTGAAGGATAAAATTTGAGAATAAAATATCTCCTCTTCATGTTATATAAAAATTAGTTTTATGTTCCGTCGTAATGACTGTTCATCGCCATTATGCTACATTTACTATTTCGCTATTTTAATTAAAATAACTAAAATGAAATATACAATTGTGTTAGTATTTGATCAAAAGTTATCAAATAGATAAAAAATATCATATTTAAGGACCGATAACTTATTTTGTTCGCTTCCAAAGTTCGTGTTAGTCATAAAATAAGATCCTGCAAAATAAATAAATTATGTGAGTTTTCATTCTGATGAAAATTGTAACAAACATTCTAAAATCATATAATGTTTAAACAATATATTCAAAATATAAGATAACTGATCTAATTTTATTGATCATGGAAACATCATTATTCTGACAAAGCAATTCAGTACCACCAATTCGTCGCATCTTGTGTAATGTTATTCTATTTATTAAATACTTCTAAATGAAATATTTCGAAAACTCAAAGAAATTAAATGCTAAATTTCATTTATTGGATTTTCACAGTTAATATTTATTTTTCACTGCAGTGAAGCATATTTTTCGTATTTTCACTGTTGTCTTGCCTGACTGCTGTCGTCTATATTCAGCCTATACACAAAATTTCAAGGGAATTCTTTCAAATCATGAATTTTTAAACAATAATAAATTAACAGGAAATTCAAGATTCTTATTAATAAACGCCGCTATAAACGCCGTACTTTCGTCATATGAAACACATACCCATTTTTCGAACAGAAATCGTTGGTCGCTCGTGCGTTTAAAATTTAATTATGAAAAACTGTCAACTACTTGCTCGTGCATTAAATATCTGTGGATTTGCCTTAGCTAATGCATCCAATACTTGCTCAAGTACAATAAGTTCTTAAACGTGTAATCAAAGGTTGTAAATTTCTAAACACTTATTTTCTTTAAATACTCTATGCCCTTTAAGTACTCTTAAGATACTCTTTCTTATTTAGATCTTTACCTTTGGTTAAATAGTACTACACATTCCAAAAAATGCCGTAAGAATCGTCCCAGATTACTCACGCATCTCAAGGCTTTTAATGTGCATCGATGTTTTGCATTATTACTTGAAATACGCGGAAAACGAAGGCACACCATAAATAATCGTGAAAATGTAGACTGTATTTGGTAAAATTTTATTTAAAACATTATTTAACAATAAACATTCGAACGCAAGTGCGCACGCACACTCGCGCACAAACAATGATGGTCGTTAAACGCTTAACATATGATGGATAATGCAAATATTATTTATAAATGGCTTGAATTAATTGCATTTAGTCTTAAACAATAAATATAAAACATTCAGATTTAATGAATTAAAATTATATTTCTGTTATTGATAGTCCACCACCACACTCAACGTCATAACATCAGAAAAGTTTTTTAAAAAAAGACTTAACTGTAACAGGTAGTAGTTAATTAGTTAATCTGTGTTATATACCATTGTAAAGAGAACTGTCATAAGTTTCTCTTATACGTAATTTACGGGAAAACGTTGACGTAACGACGTCATAGATGACGTCATCAAATAATAGTTGTTTTTCGAAATGGCGACGTCAAAAAAGAAGGCAGCAGAAGAAGTTAAACTTTATTTTGACACTAAGGCTCCAGTTGCTGTTATTCGCATGATGCAGAAACCCACTCTTATCTCCTCACAAATGACAATGCCCCTTTCTGTGTAGGTTGTAATGAAAATTTTACTGTCAAGCATTTTCTTCTTGAATGTCATGATTTTTCACAGGCCTGTAATAGATTTTATTCTGTAAGTTCACTCAAAGAACTTTTTAATACAATTCCATCAAAGAACATAATTGATTATTTAAAAGAGATAAATTTGTATTCTAGGATCTAATTTGCTCATTTCTATTGTCATTTATTATGTTTTACATAATATTTTAAGCCTATTATAGCATTCGGCACGATATGGCCAGTTATGTGTTGACGTGCCGTAAAAATCCAAACAAACAAACAAACAAACAAGCAGAAAAAATATCCTGACGATAACAGACTTACAAAGCTTCAAGTGCACCGGCTGGTAAATAGATTTCAACAAACTGGGTCAGTTGAGGATAGCCGACACAACAACAGTGGACGACCAAGATCAATCCGCAGTTTAGAGAACGTTGCAGAAATCCAGCAAGTGATTCAGGAGACACCACAAAAATCTGTAAGAAAAGTTCTTGGAGACATCACCAATAACTCTAGTTATGGAAGTGTGCATAGGACGCTGCGTTTTGATTTGAATTTGTTTCCCTATTCATTATCCATTATGCAACATTTTAAAGAAACAGACATAAAGAGCAGATTAGAGTTTGCTCCTTGGATGATTGATAATGTGAAAAGATATGGTTTTCAGACGAATCACATTTTATCTCAATGCCGCTGATAACAAGCAGAACTGTCGAGTATGAAGTAAAGAGAAACCAACATTCTATTTAGAAAAGCCACTTCATGATGACAAGGTGATGGTATGGGCAGCGTTGAGTTCGACTGGTGTGATTGATTTTTTTAATCGAAAGGTGAAACCAAAACAATAAATAGTGAGCGATATCTTTCTCTCTTGAAGACACAATTTCTTCCAGCCTTACGAAGAAAAGGTGTTAACATTAATACAATATGGTTTCAGCAAGATGGAGCGGCATGGAATGGTTGAAAGAAACATTTGGCAGAAAATTTATCTCGTTTAAATCAGACAAAATTTGGCCTCCACACTCCCCTGATCTAAGTCCGTTAGATTTCTTTCTATGGGGACACTTAAAAGACAATGGCCCAGTTGTTCAAAACGTTTGTTAACTTTAACAACAAATTAACTTAAAAGTTGTTAAATTTTAACATTCTTGTTAACTTACGAAATGTTAAAGTTTTGGTTGTTCAGAGCTTTGTTAAAATTTTTGTTAGTTAACCAAAAGTTAATTTGGTCAACTTTTCGTTAACTATTTAACAACAAAAAACAATCCCATAATGCAGTGTGCTACATCCTGTACAGTAATCCAAGATGGCCGAAATTCAAGAGGTACAATCACAAACTCTGAGTGAAAACCAAAAAATAAAGCATGCCAGGATATCTTACTTTTCATGCAATGAAATATCTGTCCTTGTGGCAGCATATAGTAAGAATAAAGGCCTGCTTGAAGGCACCAAAATTCCAAACAATGTAAAGAACAGGATCTGGGAGGGCATTGCTCTCAAAGTTTCAGAGGCTGGCAATGCCTTAAGAACCACCAAAGAGGAAAAAACAAAATGGTTCAACCTCTCTCGTATTTCTAAGCAGACACACAGTGACTTCAAGCAGTCTTTTAACAAACCTGGAGGTGGACCACCACTTAATTCGCCCAAGGTCAAAGATATAATTGACCTCAACACTGATTCGGAGAATTTTTGTGGGATAGATGGTGGTTTGGAGACCGAAATTTGTTTTGATTACAGTAAGTATATGTTTTTATTCTATAATGGTTTTAATGTGTCCCAAAATAAACATAAATAGCTAATAATTACAAAAAGTAAATAAACAAGTTTGAAGTTAGGAAACACCCTTCGTCGTCTGCAATATTTTGTTGCTAAATATAGTATACAGCTATTTAAAGAGCGACCTTGACTTGAGTTTGCCTCGTTTTGAAGCCTCACTCAGCTGTTTACTCTTAAAATCTACAATTTTTCGAAAATAACGGCAATGATTGTTGTTTTCAAAATATTCATCCAACCTTAACCAAGCTAATACATTCAAGGAATGACAGAAAGGGATTATAAAGGGAGGCTTACAGGTTAAATAGTAAATAAGTTCGTCAAATTTTCGTTGTTTGAAGCTTCTCATGTGTTGTATCTGCTTGATTGAGAGTCCGTATAAGAATAAGTTCCATAGTTATTGGTAGGACTACACTATTGATTTTCCCTTAGCTATAGATAATCATCGACATAATACTTTAATCAAACCGTTTGAAAATTATTATAAGTATAATTTATGATAAATTGGCCAGCAGCAGCGCTTAATAAAGTTAATAACACTTAAACAATGATAGGATTCACAAGAATTTTCTACACAGTTTCCTACAAAATGTTATTCGATTAAATTCTACTGAATAATCAAAAATAAAAAGTTACAAGAGGCCCTAGCCAGGGTTATAGTATAAACAAAGTGGCAGATACTAAATGTCAAAAAATATAAAAATTATTATAATATTAAACTTATCACTTATTAAACTAGGTAAAATAAAAAACATGTATTGAACCATAGTTTGTGCACAAATACAGATGTTCTCAAATGGAAATGATCAAACTATTATTTTTTATAATTACAGTCACTGATAATACAGTTACCAGCAATGAAGGGTGTCAGATAGACAGTGCAAATATGGAGGCTGGTACGTAGACAATATATTAATTAATATATGTAGAGTATGGTTTGGATAGAATACATGACCAACTCTGACTGGGTGTTCAATTTCTATGTATTTTAATGATGTGAAAATGAAACCTATAATTATGAATAAACAATTATTAATACATGAAATACAAAACACAAATTAAAATACAAATTCAATATCATTTAACATTTCATATTTCAAACAATTCCAACTATTTAATTCATACATTTCAACACATTTCTTTTAAGTTATTTAAAGTAAAACATATCTTACCAGGTGCAACTGGCTGACCTGTATTGTATAAAATAATAGAAAATCTATTCTATAAAGAACAAACATAAAGTTGAATTAGATAAATACAGCATTCAAAATGTTCTATGAAGAACTACTGAAGTTAACTTTATAATGCAAACAAAGTTTGAAAATGACTTCTGCCTTAGAAAAGAAATGTAAATTGCCCATGCATAAAATGATATGAAGTCACTCACATCCAATCACATTCTCACTTAGCAAATATACAAGATATTTATTGGACATCACTTAACAACACAGGACATAACAAAGGACAACAAGAACAACAAGAACAAGACATTACCCATAATTCTATAATGATGAATGAAAATGATGTCATGTATTATATATGCCTGAATGAATGAGAATGTAGTGTGTAAATATAGGATGAGTATACAGATAGGCAGTAATTTGACCTTATCTACATATATATTTAGCATAATCTTTAATACATGTGCACATGATACTTAAACTCATTATCTGACACATGCATACTGCTAATTATATGCACACACAAAAATTTCAGATGCTAATTTGTATATTACATTTGTATATAAATTTGTCTTCATATACTATCATACTATCTAGTTATTGTAAAAGTTTAGACTTAATGTTGAAAATTGTATAATTCACTTTTTTAGACCTGAAATATTGAATCTAGTTCCTTAAATGAAAAAAGGGAACTTAAGAAGTCAAGACAGTAAAAGAACTTTCATACATTAATTAATATGTATTTTAAGCCAACTTAATCTTTCTAGCAATTATGCATGAATTTGAAATAGTGTTGCCTATCACTATAATTATGAAGTAGGCATAAGTCATCTTAGACATGTATGTACCCTTTACATGATGTAAGGGAGACAACTCATAAGCCCATATTTATTATTATTATTATTAAGATAAACATATCAATGTCATCACAGGTAACACATCAACAGTATCTGATGAAGTTGAAGTCATTCATCCAGAAAATGCGAATGTTGAAATAGCGCAGGAGGTATGTGATAATGGACCATTTATACAACTCAGTATTTCCCTTTAAGAAATAGAATTTAACTTTCTTTTTCAAATTCATGAAAAATCAATATATTTTTAAGATTAGACCAGCAAGCTGGACTACTTCAACAGCTCTTGCTTTATGATTGTGTAATAATTAACATTACTAACATAAGCTTAAATAACAATGTATTTTCTTTCTAGAATTCGTGATTTTATTAAAAATTTAGGTTTTTTGAATTCTGCTTAAGCCGGTGCTAGAGGGCATGGACGGTAACTTGCACTTTCCAGTACCGTCCATGAACAGGCTCAATCAAACCGAGCCTGCAACATTTTCAATTTTGCCGTGTTGGGCTTTCTTTAGGGATTCTGTATTTATCTATTTTATGATCACATCCGTGTTATTTGTGCCGTGTGGCGGCTGTAAAAAGTCTCCCAGTACATTTAATCAATGATGTTATATTTTCGATCCTTGAAGATCGTTCAGCACGACATTATTGTTGTGCTTGTGGTATTTTTAGTTTCAACTTTTTGGCATTTTCTAGTTGGGTGGTTCCAATATTCCTACTTGAATAATGTTGAATCACCCTTAGGGTGTTGCCTGCTTTTTAAATTTGTCTTTGACGTCTTATTTGTGATACGCGGGCTTCATAACCTCTGATCCCCTTTCAAAATTCCATTTTATTTAGTTCCGCCCATTGTTTTCTCGTTTAGGGCACACGCTTTTTATTACTTGGGGACCATATGCCGCTTTTCATGGAATGGCACGGAAGTGTCACATTGAAGGTTCCATGATAACCGCCGTATGAACACATCTGCGAATGTTTCTAAATTCAAAATTTTACTATTTCACGTTTAAATGTTGAATTTTGCTTAAGCCGGTGCTAGAGGGCGTGGACGGTAACTTGCACTTTCCAGTACCGTCCATGAACAGGCTCAATCAAACCGAGCCTGCAACATTTTCAATTTTGCCGTGTTGGGCTTTCTTTAGGGATTCTGTATTTATCTATTTTATCTCTCCTTTTGCATTCCATTTCACTGCTGCAAATAAAGAAAAACAGGACTTGAAATAAACTAAATATTTCAGACTAAAACTGATAGCTCAGACATGACCAGCCAAAATAAGAGACATCAGACATGTAATGAGAACCAGAAGCAGAAAAAGTAACTATAATATTTTTACACACTTGTATTTTATCCATGATAATTGCATAATTTCTTCAAAGAAGTTTTGCCTTCAAATGCATCAATATCTCTATAGAGTGAATGTAGACTTAATACTTAAAGCTATTTCTAGAGCAGCATCTCTTTTTTCTGATTACCTATAATTGAATTGGTAAACAATATCTGAGCTCTCATAAGATTTTCCTTTGCAATATGTTTCAAAGAATTATTATAGTAAAGGAATTTTTACTTTTCTAAATCAAGGTATATGACTGTTTTTAAATATTTGTTTTCTTATGTAACTAAAAATCAGTAGTATCGGAACATTTAGAATACATTGTTTATGTAAAGAAAGTGAAATATGTTATTTCATAATTGTAATACAGCATATACATACGGAAGACAGACAAAACCCCACACATCAAAACCCAACACCTAAAAAATTTATAGAGTGGACAAAACCCCAAAACTTAATTGTATAGAGTGGACAAAACCCCACACCTTCAATTTTATAAAGTGGACATAACCACACACTTTTTATTACTATTATGTATGGTCCTTTGTCTGACAATGAAATAAAGGACATTGTTGACACTTTGAATAATTAATGCTAATTGAATAAAAAATGCTAACTAAGATTAATGAATATTAACCCTTTGATTTTTATATATAACAGTTTGTAATATTTGAATGCTTATCCTTTGAATTTTATTTAACAGTTTGTAGTATTTGTAAAGTATAATTATTATACTCTATTATCATTTAATCATATTGTATATTGTATACTGAAATTGAATATAGAACAGAACAGAACAGAAATTTTATTTCGTAACGTATACAATTAACTTAAGTCATCTTCACTGTGCCAACACCTGGACAGAAACTTCAGGCAACTTAGTGATGGAGTACTCCTTGGAGACAGTGGGTATGAAGTTTAATAACACATGTCTTGTCTTTACTATCTTGAATGCTTCTATTTATCTGCATGTGTGTGTATTCCCTGTAAAAATAATCCATTACATTTCAGTTATGCTTGTATGAAATACCTGATGACACCATACAGAAATTCTGACACACCCTCAAAGGAGCGTTATAACAGAGCTCACTGTAAAACAAGAGTTGCTATAGAAATGGCATTTGAAAGTTGGAAAAGGAGATTTGGAATTTTACATGGGGAGGTATATATTATATGTACACTGTATTAAGTTAAGTACAAAGCTGTCATGGGCTGATCCTGACCATTTAGCATTTACATTTATGAATTTACCTAAAAAATTAAATTGAAATTATTTAATGGATTATTATTCAGATGGAACAAATTGCATGAGTTTAAGTTCTCTACTTTAATAATAAAATTATTAAACCCTCTGGCAAGTATGAAAGAGTGTATGTTTGTTTGTTCTGTATGATGCTATGTTCACGCATTAGTAAGAAAATATTTTCTGACTACTATGTGTGATACTACATTAGCATAGTCTTACAAAAGAAACAACTTCTTTATAGTTTATACATACAGTAATAAGAAAAATACCCTTGTCTTAACTGTTGTAATGAAGTTCTGAAAACAAATGCATGTAAAAATAGATAACCCATATGCCAAAGTTCACAAAAAATTATTGAAGTCTATAGTAACATCCTGTACTTCACTGGTTAGTAAAAAAATGATAATCAATTTTTTTACTATAAGTACTGCATTTATTTTCAATTGCAAGAGTGGCAATAGCCACAAGTGAAATGTGATAATTTTCATTCCACAGGATGAACATAAGTCCTGTATTTATAGAAAAAATTGAATTTTCTTATATAATAGTAGAATAATACAAATTTTCCTCTTTTTTCTTTTCTTATTACAAGTCACCAGTGAAAATATGGAAAAGCAATTATATATTTTGTCATATACTTTTGTTTGTCCATATTTAGGTGTCTAAAGGAAGTTACTTGAAACAATTGTGCAAGTATTTTTGAGTCTAAGACTTGGTAATAAAGAACATCACACGGCTTTAGGGAATCTGTTTTTATCTTTTCTCATTTCAATCAATTATTATGTTTTTAATGTTTTGTATTTCAGGCCAATGCTTTAAAAATTTTGATTTATCTCAGCTACTTCAATAAGTATTTTAGTATTTTCATATCAGCTAAGCAACAGTGAAAGTTTAGATCTATTCTTATTTAAATATGTATGAGTAACAAATTGAAACTATTTTCAACACATTTCTGCTAGTAATGTGTTTTTTATGTAAGAGTGATAACCGTCCTGTCAACAAATTTTGTTCTTTAGCATTCATTAGCCATGTGCTTTTTCACATTTGATAAGTTAGTTATAGTTCACATACTTTTGTTTATCTTATTCTTAAAGGGCATTTAATTATTGATTCATAACACAAAAAAGAATTGTTGAAACATGACTGTAAGTGTATTTATTAAATAACATACACATAAAAAGTACATTTATAAAATATTATACATTGATCCAATCTAATTTGAACAGAGAATGATATATTTGGTTACATATGATATGTTTTGCTCTTGTTACATGATCCATGTTGTTATGGCAGCAATTTTTATGCACTTGATCCTACATGTTTGTATTTGTTTTTTCCAATGATCTCTTTGTTTATCAGGATTATTAGGTTATTTGAAATGATGTTATTAAAACTGTTGAAAATTGAATTTGTTAGTAATTTCTGAAATTCTTGACACAAGACAGAAACAGATAATAATGTACCTAACCATTGCCATAATTGCATGTGCTATTTCTTTTAGAATAAAAGTGGAGACAGGAAGTTAAAAACCTTTTTAGTATCGAAGTATGTTATGTATCATATTAAAAAATTGGAAAGGGCAATAATAATCAATTGTTACCCTTGCTAAGTATCAAAACAGTTGAGTTCAAACTAAATTCCCACCCTCGTGCAATTGTAGTGCACTAGACCTGAACTAAAAGTGCACACCATATGCACTTCTAGTGCACTAAGCCAAATGACCGGACATGGGAACATTTTCTTGATATAATGGATCATTGAATATATACTAAAACATACACAGACTTGAGAATCTGCATAAATTTACATAATAATCTTAATCTCATGCATGTAATCTTGTTGGCATCTTATTATGTTGGGATTGAATTTCTTGGGTATACCCTTACAAAGATGCAATGACATTAATAAAGTTGTATTTTATGTGATTTATGACTTGCACAAAAATCCTTGGTATAAGTTTCAAAAGGGTGATATACAAGTACCTAATCAGATAAATTAACACTGACCAGCCAATAAACAACTTGATAAGATTAGTTTCTACCCAGGCATTGTCAAAATAATATTTGAACATAAGAATCAACATTTAAGTGCAATAGGAAGACTTTATATCATTAATTTCAGAGTGCTCCTACAGTAACCATGTCAAATTGTGAATGGTTATATCTGACCTTTACATACATTTAGTAGTTTTAAACCTGAGACCCCCTGGAAGGGCCTCTATATTTTCTATGATATAAGCAATATAAAGGGAAGCAACTATCAAAACACAATCTAGACGACAAAATGAGCAAAATAACAGAATGCTGAAAATAAATGCATAATAAAAGGAGAAATATTTAAATTACCTGAATGATCAACTACTCCCATCACGTTTATCGACGGAAATCGCTTTCTATTGATGTATGCTCTCTGTCTTTCTCCACCAGGCTTGATTATCCGGACATGTGTCCCATCGATACATCCAATGACATTGGGAAATCCGGATACTCGATAGAATGAACTTTTATTCTGTGAGGTTTCACTTGGCCATTTGATGTACTGGTCTTTAATCTCGCAGAGTGCATTTGTCACCGAGGCAATGGTTCGGGACACTGTAGATTTATCTCTTCCAAGAGTATCCCCAACAGTTTGCATAAAAGAACCGGTAGCATAATACCTTAAAGCTATAAGAACCTTTTCTTTGACGCTTAGAGCATGCGAGCGTTCAGTTTCAGATTGTAATTTGTCATTCAAAATATCACATAGGGAATCAATTCCATCTGGAGAAAATCTATTTCCTGGCATTCACGTGGTGTCAAATTATCATAAAGGTATGTTGTGTTTTCTCTATATTCCTTTTTGCGTTTGGTATTTGTCACAGAAACAAACAAAGCAGCCATTTTAATTTTTATTGTTAACCACTAACAAAAAAATTAATTCACCTCTTGAGGTGAATTAATTTTATTGTTAAATCCTTGTTAAAGCCGTTGTTTTAACAAAAAGATAACGCTTTTTTTTTCTGAACAACTGCTTTTTTAACAAAGTTATTTAACAAAAAAATTAACAAGACTTTGTTAATTTAACACAACTTTAACATTAAAAATGTTTGAACAACAGGATTGCTAAACAACAAAATTTAAGACAGAATTTAACAATATTTTGTTAATTTAACAATAATTTCATTGTTAAATATTTAACAAATGTTTTGAACAACTGGGCCAATGTTTACAATCCAAAGCCAGACGCCCTTGAGCAGCTAAAGACAGCCATTCCCAGAGAAATAAGAAAAATTACACCTGCAATGTGTGTTAACGCTATTGAAAATTTACACAAGCAAATTCGTTGAATTTATATCCCCCGCCGAGTACTGGTTATTATTAACACAACAACTGAAGACATAAGGCTTTATGTATTAATATTATATATATAATATATATTTTTATATATTAATCATGGCATAAACAGTAATATTCTTTGAACTTGATAAATATTCAGGGCAATAACAGAGCCATAATTTTGTGTTAAATAGTAGATTCTGGAAATGCCAATGAGATGTATGCATACTACATAACTGATTAAGGGCCATAAATCTGAGTTATAAGTATCTGACCAGGAACAATGCGACTATATGCACATCTCCTCTTAATATCCCATAAAGTTTCATTGAATTCCAGCCAGTAGAAGCAGAGAAGTAGCGAGGAAACAAATATTTTTCTATATGGATTCTGCATAACTAATCAAGGGCCATAACTCTGAGTTAAAGTGTCTGACCGGACCAAGCTGACGATATGCGCATCTCCTCTTGGTATTGAAGGTTCCCATAAAGTTTCGTTGAATTCCAGCCAGTAGTTGCAGAGAAGTAGCGCGGAAACGATTTTTACTCCATATGCATACTGCATAACTAATCAAGGGCCATAACTCTAAAGTGTCTGACCGGAACAAGCTGACGATATGCACATCTCCTCTTGGTATTGAAGGTTCCCATAAAGTTTCGTTGAATTCCAGCCAGTAGTTGCAGAGAAGTAGCGCGGAAACGATTTTTACTCTAAATGCATACTACATAACTAATCAAGGGCCATAACTCTGAGTTAAAGGGTCTGACCGGAACAAGCCGACGATATGTACATCTCCTCTTGATATTGATGATTCCCATAAAGTTTCGTTGAATTCCAGCCAGTAGTTGCAGAGAACTACTCCGGAAACGA